ATATGAGTGTTCTTTCTGAGGACCTGGGCTTCATTTTAAGGTCAGCCTTCAATTTCTAGAGAATATAATTTGCTGCTATCTTTAGTGCATCATGATTGCTGGTAATAACTAATGGAAAAAACTCAACAGAGAAATAAATGTGTAACAGCTGTGTCTGCTTAAACTTGATTAAAGGCAGTAAAAAAAGTAAACAGAAGAATGAATGTGACAATAGGCGAGGGAGAGACAAGTATCCTTCTCATTGTGAGAAGTTTTGCAGGCGTAACTTGCTCCACTTCGGAAGGCCAGCGATGTCTGTGTTTAAAGTTTACTTTACTGTTTGTCTTGAGTGGGATCAGTGTTGTAGTGAATAATTTATAGCCCGCATGAATGAGCTCATTAGTCACCTTTTCAGACTTTAAATGAGTTTTGTGGTTGTCATTACTCGAGCCTTCTGTTCAGCCGCCGAGCAAAATGACAGTTTGGCAGTTGGCTGCCTTGTTGTCGGGGCCGCCTGTTCCCCTTCAGGTCTGTGTTGGCTTTTGTATTTCATGGAAACCTTCTTTTTCTAACCCTGTGCTGACCCAGAAACTCTCACATTTCAGATGCCTTTTGCATCCCAAGTTTAAATGAGTTTTGGGGGGATTAAAAAAAAATCTTCCAGCTGTGTCTGGCAGGGAGAGTGAAGTGGACGAAATGAGCTTTTTCCAGCAATTACTGTGTGTTTTTCCCTTTGTGCTTGGTTTGATATATGTTATTCAAAAGCACAGAGCAAGCTGGGGAGTTGTGAAGCAGCTGAGCCAGGCTCTCACATGGCAGTAGGCATTTAGGCAGGGGATGTCATTGAGTTTGGAGGGAGAGGGGTGTTTCAAAGGAGGTTTGCATTGTTTCAGTTCTGAACATCAACATGATGTGGATGTAGAAACTTACTATGGCAGATCTGCAGAGCCAGATTTCCAGGGCCAAAGAAAACCACCACATTGTTCCTACCACAGGGTTGACCAGATGACCCTTCAAGGTCCCAGCCAACACAGAGGTCCAAGCATCACTGGGAAAGGCTGCTACTTCTTCCCCAGATCTCTGTCTCCCTAGTCCAAATCATTAAGAGAAAGCAAACTGTTGCAGCTGCCTCCTCACCGTGGCTTTGGAGACTTGCCTGGGAGGCTGGTATGTGGGGAAGACGAGCCTGGGCATGCCAATAGCAGGTGGGATTGCTTTGGAATGGATGTCATGAGGTTCAGCCCTGCCTTTGAACATGGCCTGGGCAGCCTCCAGGGAGCTCCGACATTCCCTCCCTAGGACTGGACTCCATCCAGAAGTCCAGGACACCAAAGCATGCCCACCTTGGTCCTTGGGTAGCCTCTGTTGGCACTTGTGGTGCATGGATGCTTGCCTAGGGTGTGTCGGCCAAGTGCCTGGACCCCTGCTCTGAGGTGTCACCGACGTTTGCTATGAGCAACAGGCACTAAGGGCTGCCGTCACCAACGTGGGCAGCACCCCCTTCCAGGATCCATATTGTTAGACAGCTGGCCTAGCACTGTGTGCGGCATGTAGGAAAGATGCTCAATATTCCTCTCTGGAAGAAATGCCAACTTAAAAAGGACGCCTGGTTGTTTGGGGGCCAAATCTTTGAAACCAGTCAGAGTTACATGTCTTCGAGTACAGAGAAATGAGGTGCTGTTGAATGCATCCACAGAGAGCTAGCAATTCATTTGGCGACTTCCTTTCCAGCCCCCACCCCCATGAGGTTGAGCACTCACATGCTGTCAATTTGTGGGCACGTTTTGCTTGCACCTGAGTCACAATATT